AGAACTCAACCCCTTGTGTCATTCAGCCGCTCAGGTTGTCACGTTTACTGTAGTCACATACCTTCGCGCCTGAGGGGCTGCGTAGATGTTCAGGTTTTCTTCAGCTAATGTTTAAGGCCGACCCCTTCAGAGTGGAATTAATTGAACCATGTTCAGATTGACTGTGTTCGACCGATCTTTTCAGAACTTTGAAGACTCGCGTCGTATCTCCTGAGTGCTTCTGCTGCGGTAAAATACCAGAGTGACAGTGCCTTCGCGACTGTACATACTTTCCGCTCCTTACGGGTGGTCATTCTGCATCATTCTGCATTCAAATCAAGACTTACAGATTGGTTTAACCAGGTTTCAGTCTATTCGCAGCCGTCCAGAAAATTAAATGTAGGTGTGCTTTGTTTGGAGTTTTGGTCGTAGCTTGATTTGCGCATTGGCAGAGAGGCTCATTGCTTGTAGAAGACGTGCGTATGCTGAAAAGAGGGTTCTGTGCCTTAATCCGAAAACAAAAACAGCATAAACACGCTATGCTAAGCAGAGTTAATCAGTGTTGCTGAGTTGCCTTCCTGTTCGTCACCAACCAGAATGCTGCAGGACTCCCCCGCAGAGCAAAAGGATGAGCAGGCAGCCTGGAAAGTCATCATGTGATAAGCCAGAAGTATAGGCAGCATAGGCATTGAGGCTCTCGTTGTGATTGTTTGTCGCCGCATTTTGGAAGGCAGGCAGATGCGGTTAAGAGTTTATCCATAACTTTTAATGCCTATGATCCTTGCCTATGATCTTGACTTTGCTATACCTTGCTGGTGCTTTGCTGATATCCGCAGGGTAGCTGTTTCATTGAGAGGTCGAGCCGAGCCACCATGTTGCAAGGCAACGGGCTCAGTGCAATTCAAGTTGTGAACATATGTGAAAATGCAACAGGCTTGAAAAATGTGAATCACTGTTAATCTGAAGTATTTGTTGAGTTTGTTTCCAGCCGATTTCGCATTGGTCCATGGTCCAGCTACTTCATAGCACGTTCAGCATTTTTCTGTGTTGAGTACCCGACCGAAAGCCTGTGTGGATGCACCAGCCTTAGCAGATCTTAGCAGGCCGCACTTTTGTGGCTGGGAAGTCCAATTCGATCCAATTCGTGCCAAGGTGCGGTGGCAATGGCCTGAAATCGAGGAGGTCCATTCCATTTCCGTGCAATGCACATCTCCGGCCAGACAAGGAAAAATATGAAAAAAACAAAGTGTTTAAGAAAACAGGACATTGATTTCGACTGCATGCACGTACACTTTCATAGGTACAATACAAAATATTACATGTTGATATTGTATACAATATTATACCATATTATACAATACGACTTTTTATTACCTGCCTGCATACCTACAAAGCTGCAAGCTTACATAGATAATCATAAATAAGTGCGTTTGCAACTCCCACGTACCTTCTCATACATATATGTATATACATGTACATGTCTGTTGAATATTTACGTGTACGTGTGCATTTACACATGCACACACACACACTTGCTCAGACTTGTCTTATCGAATTGTGATGTGGAATGCATCAGGCGTGCAAAAATGCTCCATTGAATCCTGATCAGGGAGGAAGAAAAATTGAGATTGGGAGCTGACCCTTCCCTGTCGAGTTCCAAATAAACGTCAAATAAATTGTCGTAGCAACCATCGCCATAGTCAGAAAATTGGCACCACAGTCCTGAGTTGTGCCATCCAAAATAGAGGTTTTCATCAGAGACAGATTGCAAAAATGACGACATGGAGGTTCTTGGGTTGAGTCTCTTACCATCACGAAATTGACACGTCCATGAGCGGCCCCATCGATATTACAGGCAGCTGATGAGTGTCTTTGCTAGTGCCGGTCTCATCAGTGCCCCCGGCTCGAAATCGAAATCAAAAAACTTCAGGCACAAGTTTTACATCTGGTGAGATGTTTCACACACATGCCCCGCAGCAGCGGGGCTTTTTTGGAAGATGCAAGAACGGGTAAGCGGATCAAAGTCAGCGATCAAAATGCCAGGCAATTGCACAAATTGAGGTTTCACGGACAATGACACATGTAAGTCTTAATGTCCAGTCCTAGCGACCCGAGGCCTCAGAAAGCTCGGAGTGCACAGTGCTTTGTCGAGCAAGGATATTGGGCAAAAAAAACCAGCGACCAGCAAGGTGAGCTAAGCCATCATAGTTCAAGGATGCCGATGACGAGGAAGAAGCTGCTGCATTCAGCACATTCAGTATTGAAGCATTTCCCTCCGGGTCCTGTAGGAGGATACCATGCAACAGGTGGGACAGTTGGGCAACCGAAGGAGGTACTTAAGGTTGAGCAGGGGCCGTTTCAGAAGAATCCGTGGCCTGTAGCCTCTCTCCGTAGTAGTCCTCATAGTCATATTCGACCTGGTAGTTTCGGCCATGTTGAAGTACCTGCGCAAGTAGTTGGCCAGGATAGCTGATTGGGCCCAGCCGTCAACACGTTGCCCATGTCGGTCTCGAACATGGCCCACAATGCCATTGAAGAAGGTTTCCGGTGTTTTGATCTTCAGATACCCCGTGTCATCGACCTCTTCAACAACAAGTTCAGGATCTTTGTTGCCGTACTCAAAAATCTTGAATGTGGTGGTGCGAACTGTTCGTTGACAGTACTGGTTTGGTTGAAGTTCAGAACGGGTGGAGACGTGTGGGGTCATGTAGGTGGAAGTGTCATCAGAAGATGGGATGGGGTTGGCAGGGGTCAGGACAGCATATCCCGACACTGGTTCCATGTGGGTACCCAAGTCTTGCCCAGAAGCCAGGCAGAGATCCCGAGGCGAAGGTAGATCAGCAATGACAGAGTCACGTTTGGTCATGATGAAACATCTAAGCCAAAACCAAATTGAAAGAAGCGATGAAGGAACCACGAAGGAGACATCAAGGAAAAGAACCAAAAGATTCGAAATTGAGAACACCTGCTCAAATAAAGAGCTCAGACCAGGCCGCTAGCAACACATGAGGAAACAAAAGATGAAAGTAAAGTCAGCAACTAAAACACCTCTCAGGCCACTTGTTTGTCAGCCCTACTGATCAAGGCGGAGCAGCAAGAGGTCACATTTTACTCAGAGCCTGAGTCATGACATATCGAAAGTTTACGGAAGCACCGTATTGGGATCTTTCTGATGGCATGACAAGCGCAGCGCATGATGTAGGGCTGCGTGAAGTCTGTGAAGAGGAAGGAGTTGAAGCCATCATCTTGGCGTCGACATCAGTCAGGTCTGTAGGATGTCAAAGCTCCAATCACCGAGAAGAGAGACTCGAGTTCAAAGACATCAGCAAGAAGAAGACAAAGATCCTCCGAGTCCAATTAGGCATCCCCAAATCACAGAAATGTGGTCAAAAAGGTCATGAAGAATGTTGGTGAACAAGGTGCATGGAAGCTTGGATGGGGCCACCAATTTCGAGAATGTGAAGAGGCCTTTTTGCTCTGTAGCTGACAAGTTCGGAAGAAGGTCCAAACGAGCCAGGATCATATCACTGGCGCCAGCATGTTCCTGAGCCATGAAGCGAAGATCATCAAAAGTAATCGTTACCAAGATTGGTCGTCGACTCGTCGACGGTGGATCACTGGAGTGGATCTTGTCGTAGCTGGACTGCCATATAGATCACAAGAACCATGAAGGGCGATATCTGGGGAACGAGAACGATGCATCACAGGAAATTGATTGTTGAAAAGGAGCCAAAGCTGAAATAGACAGCAAGAGTCAAGAGGGATCAAAAAAAACGCAAGAGGAAAAGAAGGAGAACAAACGAGCAACAAAAAGAATAACAAAAAACCGGGCAACCGAATTTTTCGGACAGCGATCTGTTACACAGTCCATGGGAGGCGGGTTGGGGTCATTCGCAGGGACCAAATCTGATTTGGTGTTCTTTTAGAACATCCATCGTGCGCGGCAACTCTCAGGGGTATGACGGAGACGTTGGCCAGTGGACTTCCATGAAGGGTGGGATCGAGGGCCCTGCTTGTATTCCACCAGTTGTTGGTCGCCAATCTCGGTCCAAGCTCTGTTGCCCGTAGAAGCGGAAACTGGATGTGAGGCACCATCTTCACTCGGTGCATACACGATGACTCGAGGGACAGAAAGAATGTCTGGATCCACAGGTCCCGCACTTGGCGCACCCGATTTGCACAAGGTCTGAATCAGTTTCATCATCAGGGTCAGGAGCAGGGACTGGTGCAGTAGTCTCAGAAGCAGGTGGTCGCAGGCAGCGACGTTTTGGATGAGGACGAGTCTCAACGGTGTTGGATGGTGGTGTTGTTGTTGATCGAGAACTGTATTCGGAGCTGCTGAAATGGATCCTGGTGTGGTTCAAGTAGCCGGAGCTGCCATTGATGAAGCCGTACTGGTCGTGCAGTTTGATGAACTTCGTCCGGCATGGTCGACATGGATCTGAGGAGTGTATCGGACGAAAATGCGGTTGAGGATTGATTGTCACATGGGATGGAAGGCCTCCATGAGCCACTAATGTAGTCGAATGGGTCGATCGAGGCATGGGAACAAAAGTACGCAGGTTACGAGGTTCAGCAGCAAAGTTCGAAGGAGCCATATAATAGGGGAAGAGTCCCAATCCAAATCAGGTTCGAAGAAAGGAAGGAAACCAGCGATGTAGTCTAAATGCATGATAGCTTTGGCCAAGTGCTGGCGCTGTTGGGAATGCATCACGGTCAGAGACTATCAGAGAAACAAAGCAGGGAGCGAGCTTGAGCCAAAGAGCAAGAGGAAGGGAGAAGAAGAACACGGAAGGAATCACCAGAGAGACAAGAGAAGCAACAGCCAGCCAATTTTAATGCACAGAAGACAAAATCTGCAAAGAAATGCTATTGAGTTCTTCAAATGCAAAGCCAGCCAAATCATAAATTTGAATCAATTGTTGAAGTCCTTGGCGAACCCTATACACAGGGAATACGCATGTCACCACGGTGTGACAGCGCGAGCGAAAGCCACTGCGCAGAACTCTCGGATGTGATGTAGAGAACGGAGACAAAACTGGGAGATGCTTGTAGGTCCAAAGGGGTTGGTTTCGATCATGAAACCCAAAAATTCCTGAGGGTCATTCTCCAAAATGATGGGTTTCCCATAGGCACCTTTATCAAGTAGGATCTCATATGGTGGCAGATCCTAAATAGGGTGGTTGCCCAAGATCAATCTGTTGTCCACATAGCGAAGATGCCGAACAAAAAGATTATGATTGGCCAAAATCTCTTTGAAGTTGATGGGCCAAATTTGTTCACTGATGGAGACCACCATGAGGCAAAGTGCCTCTGACAAGGGACTACCCGGTACTACCCATGGGGCTACCTCGTCGCTGCCGTAGACTCCGAGGGCCCAATGCAAAAAGATTGCATTGTTTGATGAGATCCGGAACATCCTGTACTGCGATTTTTCGGGTGATGCTGAGACGTCTGAATTCGCATCCTTTCACAAGATCACCTGGGCTGTTGAATGTTGTTGGTCTTTCCTGGATAAACAGAGACGACTTCGTTGTCATTCGCATTCGTGCGGGGCCGAAGCCCGCCAAATCCTGGTTGAAAATTCGAAGATTATCATTTTCCGGTGCTTCTTCGGGCATTTGGAGCAGCGCGTAGACATCTCCAACTGCAACATCCTACTGGAATCAGTTGGAAAATCACCCGAGCGAGGATGTTGAGCATGGGCCTGAATGGAGAGTCAACAAACGAAATGATGGACATCCAGCAGTATACTGTTTCTTCTTCTTGGCCACACACACTGTCGCCGGAAGACAATTGACGACCAGTTCCAAGCGTCCATAGGTACTTCTTCCCATATGAACGTTCCAACGAAGCCACCATTTGATTGACCAAAGCAGTGGGTGACATGTCCAAGGAGTCAAAGATCTGGTTGTCCAAGAAGGTATTCTCCAATGACTTGTGGTAGAGGCTAGGACAAAAGATACGCAAAGATGATGCTTGCTTGTCTTCACAATGAAACACCACACCGTCGAACGACGTAGAAAAAGAGCAGAGATTGCCGATGTGGTGATGTGGTTGGAGAAAGACTGGCAATGTTGAGGTACAGGGCTCGGCTCATCATGGTCAAGCGCTCCTTTTTGTTAGGAAATACTTTGTTTAACAGAGACCCTTCCGCAATGACCGCTTGTTCAGGAGGAAGAAGATCACCAAGAAGATTGCCAGCGAGGATCCAGTGTTCAGCACCGGGATTCAAACACGTCTTCTTAAAAGGGGTCCATGTTTTGCAGCAGCATACAGGTGACAAACCTGTTGCCCAGTCAGTGACTGCCTGTTCATGGTTGCACAGGATGTCCATCACTGAGGCGTGTTTGGCAAAAATGACTTTGAACGACGAAGCGTGACAAGGAGCTTGATGTGATAGAACCTGTAGATGCCATCGTCGAAGGAATTGTCGTAGAGTTTTCACCAGATTTGGACTCAAAGACCAGGGAGCTCGCAGTGCGGCAGCACGTGGAGCGTGCTTCCCTTTCCACCATTGGATGGAGGCATCAATTGCCTGAAGTGAGAGTTCGGTATGGCTCCTGGGTGTTGGAGCTCAAACGTCGAAGCCTCGGAGCATGTAGCACAAAGTGAGGCCACCATTGTGAGATCAAAGCATCTTGGTGGTCTCGATCTGGCCTTTGTATTCGAGCCCAGAGCGTGGATGATTTGCCAGAGTTCCAATCTGGAGTGAAACCGATCGGAGGCAAGGATGTCACGTACAACCTTTGGGGTGAACTTGTGTTTGGACGTGCGCCACAGCGAAGCAAGGCCAAATTGGGCATTGGTATTCATGGCTGGCTTCTTCAAAAGACCCTTCCTAGGATGGAAGAATTGGCACATTAATGGGTAGTGTCAAACGAGGTTGCCATTCTTGAATTCATGCAAGTTCGAGGCATCGATAATTTGCTCGATGAACAAGAAGATGGACTGGAGCCCAAACAAAGAGATTGTGGTGATCACGCCAAAACGTAGTGCAAGTTCAGCTTGGACAAATTTGTCATGTTCAAGTTGAAGGTACTTTCTGGTGCGACTGCTTTCGCGGTCCAAAGTACTGCGCGTAGCCGATCCCACATAGATTTTGGGTTGCATGCTGACAATGTGCGTGAAACGAATGTAAACCGCATTGGGCTGAAGAAAGTCCTTCATGAAAAAGACCATGAGACTCCAGGTAAGAACCCCATAGGTGTGACAAATTGGCATACCCTTCCAAAATATGTCAGAAAATTTGCACCACAGTCCTGAGTTGTGCAATCCAAAATAGAGATTTTTTATCATCCAAGTCTTGACAAATCATGTTCAGAATATGACAGGATGCAAAAACGACGACATGGAGGTTCTTGGGTTGAGCCTCTTCCCACCACGACATGGACATGTTATGCAGGTACGTCGATGAGCGTCCCCATCGATGTCACAGGCCACTGATGAGTGTTTTGTTACCACCGGTCTCATCAATGCCCCCGGCACCCCCTGCAAACATTGATAAACTTCCTTGAAATCGAAATCAAAAACATCAGGTACAAGTTTTACATCTGTTGAGATGTTTCACACACACATGGCATATCATACAAGTATGCATACATGTGTAGATACATACCTGGAGCTCATACCGTAGCAAGGACTACAAGTGTGAAGTGGATCGAATTGGCAAAGACAATGACACATATTATACACATGTAATCACAGAACAAGCATGCGCGTAGAATATACATGTATGTATACGAGCAGGCGCAGACACGTACATTCCGCAGTCACCGGTTCATCCAGACAGACTGTGACAGACATCTAGACACACAAGCAATGCTGATGGGCTATCATGTTGCCACCTGGGACGTGGTCAAATTTCGGTGAATTGCCCACATTGGCGGATCGTCAGGACTCCCTGATTACCATACCCAAAAACGATGTTTTGAACATTCACACATGACACGACCTACTCGTACTATAACATTGCATCACGATAAGATACCTGACACTTGCAGCCTATTATACTGCTTCCCTGTTCTTCATCGCACCTACTCGTACCAAGATGCCTGCCAGTTCACTCACACGAGCACGCTTGCATACGAACACACTTGCATGCCGTCCATATGCTTCACTTGCTTGTCTACTTGCTTGGATGCTTCCACGCGACAGCCCCACTGCAGTCTGCACTACATCCAGGCCTCTGCCTGTCCTCGTATTTCGCTCTCATGTCCGCCTTCATATCTGCCGACGCAGCACCTAGGTGCCGAAATACACACTTCAAAATATACTGAAATATTTTTGAAACATATGTATTCTGTTTATATATATAAACACATGTATATGCGCATACATGGCCATATTCAGATGTAGATGTACATATGCATATATATATATGTTTATTTATTTCTTTCTTTATTTATTTATTTATTTTTTGTATAATATACAAATTTACATGAATATTATATACACATACGTTTGTACATTGTACACATGGTGTCATGTGCCATACATATAAACAATAGACATGTATGTGCCTGTACTGCCTCTACATCTGGACATGTGCCTATACCGACATGCATGTCTGTAGTCAATTCCATACTCGTATTTCGATTTACGTCTATTGGACATCAACATTTTTGCAGGCGCTATGCCGCGTGGCTGGTTTGACAAAAAGCAAGCCCTTCGTGATGCGGGAGGGCCAAGATGAGTCAAACCCTAGGTAACCCGTAACCTATTCGTGGCAAGGATTGCTCAAAATTGTTCCAAATTATTCAACGCATCACGGCACTTGAGTTGGGACCAAGGGTCAGCACATGCTAGAGACCTCATGTCGTGGGCAACTTCGCCCACTCATCACTACCTGGTCACCATTGTAAGATATTGCAAACGTTCATTTGCTATGCCCTGAGGGATCAAGAAGGCTACACTTCCTTCGGCAAAACCTACTTCTACGGCTTTCCAGGTTTGGTCTTTGAGGCGCTCGGAGTAGTTGTTTGTAATCAGGTTCGGTTGCCGTTTGTGCAAAAAACCTGCAGGCATCAGATGTATATAAATAGTTGTCAATAACATTCAATACCCATGACCCTTTGGAAGACAGCTTGCCTATTGGCTTGGCCACAGGGAACAGGGCGTAACGCGTGCTGAGACGTGTCACCCAGACTTTGTCCCTGCAACCTTCTCAATTTGGAGAGGTTTGTTGAATCATGTCAGCCCAAGAAGCAAGACATCAAAGATTATAGCCCATCTCGACTCAGCCACGTGTATCAGGTGATGCAAAACGGGTACCTGGCATCGCTGACAATCTTTGCAGCCACCGCCACAGATTTGTCCCAAGGTCAAACATGTTCAGATCATGTCAGGTCCTATTTTCTTCTCAGGAATTCGCAAGTTTCACAGTACTCCCCCTCTGTTGTGGACACAATGCGAAGTTTGAGGGTCATAGGAAGGCATAGCTGAGCATAGCTGCTACAAGTTTCCGAGATACGTAGAAGTTAAACAACAAATATCAAGTTACTCAAATAACTATGTAATATAATCTATATATATATAATATGTATATACAGTATACGATGCAATAATATACATATACTGATACTCTTGTGATCGTGTGCACTTGCTTGCTTGGATCTTGAGCAGAGAGGGTCGGTAAGGTTCATGCTTGTCGGCTGCCAGCAGCCTTCCAGAGGACATATATGCCGTGCGCAAACCTTGCAATATCTCTAGAATCATCTAGAACAATGGAAAGGTTTCACAACACGATGTGAAAAAGCGCATGGAAAGCTAAAGAGCATACCAGTAGTACCGCACAAAGCGGTGGCGGAAGTTTCAAAAATAGGAAACCTATAGGAGAGTTTGGTTGTTGTGAATCACGGATGGCAGAGCGAATCCACTGATGGACCGAAAGGTGGTTAAGGTTTCCTCTCTTTCTCTCTGTCTCTTTCTCTCTCTTTCTCTGTCTTTCTCTGATTATCTACCTACCTAACGATCTATCGATCTATCTATCTATCTCTCTCTCTCTCTCAACTATCTATCTATCTATCTATCTATTCATCCATCCATCTATCTCTCTCTCTCTCTCTCGCTCTCTCTCTCTCTCTCAACTATCTATCTATCTGTCTGTCTATCTGTCTGTCTGTCTATCTATCTACCTGTCTATCTGCAAGCTTGAAAACGAAGATATTCTGCGAGACGTCCTCAGGTTTTGAACTTGACAACATCAAAAACGCAGCAATTCTGCGAGACTTCCTCAATGTTTGAAGTTGACAACGTCAAAAACGTAGCAATTCTGCGAGACTTCCTCAATGTTTGAAGTTGACATCGTCAGAAACGAAGCATTTCTGCGACGCTTTCCCATTTTTCGAAGTTGACAACATCAAAAACAAAGCAAGTGAGACTTCCTTCAAAAATGGAAAGTTGAGTGCACAGCTGACGGCCTCGTGCCCATGCGTTTTGCGATTTTTCCAGCCCACCTGTCTAAACTACTGCGCGTGCCACGAAAAAGTGATGCCAGGTCATACGAAGTGCTGCACCTGTCATGCAAAATCATCTCAGCAAACCTGAGGATCTGATGCTCCAAAATGCAACCCCTCTCAGGAAATCAGCGCCCGGACCTCCTAACAGCCCTGATGAAGATGTATCTTGTACTGCTCCTGCCGCGGAAAATGCATCTTTGCAGATCCTCTTGTCCCACGCTTGCCATCGTTTGTGGAAATGCAACAAAACCCTCACGTTTTGCTCCCTTTTGAGCAGGTGCACAATCCCTCGCGCCTGCCACGCGAAATGACATCTGAACGTCCATGTGGTGTTTTTCACATTTTGACTTCGAAATGTGCTTCGCGCCACAACGGCGTCCACTTTTTCGACATCTCAACTTCCAAAAGTGGTCCGGAGCTGGTGTGCTTTGTACATTTTGACTTCGAAATGTGCTTCGCGCCACAACGGCGTGCACTTTTTCGACATCTCAACTTCCAAAACTGGTCCGGAGCTGGTGTGCTTTGTACATTTTGACTTCGAAATGTGCTTCGCGCCACAAAGGCGTGCACTTTTTCGACATCTCAACTTCCAAAAGCGGTCCGAACATGTGGTGTTTTTAACATTTTGACTTCGACATGTGCTTCGCGCCACAACGGCGTGCAATTTTTCATCTCTCATCTGGCCAGATGGCACCCGCCGCTTTAGCGAGCCTACTTTTCGACCCTCCGGAGCCACAAATCATTGGAAAAACACAGTGCTTCGCATTGCTTCACGACTTTCCTACCTTTTCGCGCACCTGCATCTTCTTTCTTCTGACTCTTTCCCTTCTCTGATCTTCTCTCTTCTACTCTTCTCTTCTCTCTGACTTCCCATCTCTGCTTTTCATCTGTCCATGTTGTCGGAAGTTTGACTTCTAAACTTCCTTCGATGATTCCATATCTACAGTCGATCTAAAGGTCCTGGTAAGGAGTTTTAACTGTGAAAGCCGTGCGTGTTATGCTGGAAACCCTCGCGAAAGTTCTTTTCGAGTTCGCGAAAGTAGCATTTTTTTCGCGAAAGTTTCGCGAAAGTTGGATATTTTGAGTCATTGTCATTGTATGCATTACAGCTTGTTAATGGCTACCACCTCCTGCCGCCCGGGGTCCGGCAGGAGAATGTTACCGCACCATAGGTAGCAGCCAAGCTTCCGAAGGTGAGCCAAATAGTAGACCTTACTCGTCTCATTTTACGAGAAGTCGTCTCGCAACCGTCGTGCCTATGGGAAGTGCCGTTAGACACCTCATCCCAGATTAGTCATATGTTTTGGGGCATGTTGGGTTTTTGATGCAAATCACGGTGGCACGATGCTTTGGACTGGGATTGGGGTGGGGAATCCTTATTCCGAAGGGTCGTTTGCGTAGATTGCCCACTGTCATCAGACAAAAAGATAGCTAAACTCAAAATAATTTGAATCCTTTTAATGGCGCGAGAAGGAGCGCCTTATACAGATGGGGCAAGGGCTTCAAACTTGAATACCCCTTACTGCGATGATGTGGCTTGTAGTCAAGTGCTATGAGTAGGATGTTTCCCGCATGTTTTTTTCATCCTGAGGGTCAAAGTTCGCGCCGTAATGGCTCACATCCGCGGGAAGTTTTGTTATACATCATCCTTTGTTGAAGGCGTTGAGGTCTATGACTCAAATCACAATTTCACGATGATCTTGACTAGGAAGCGTGTCTCATTCCTCACAGTACCTCACTCGATGTTCAAACGAAGTTTATTAGGAGAGAAACTTCTGTGTTGCGGGCATTCAAAAGAATAGAGTAGAGAAGGGTAGACCCGAGTAGAGAAGAGCAGAGCAAAGAAGAGTAGAATAGAGTAGAGGTGGGTAGAGAAGAGTAGAGTAGAGAAGAGTAGGGTAAAATAGGGAATCTACAGCAGAGGAGAGGAGAGGAGAGGAGAGGGGATAAACCCGATTCAGAAACTTTCCCCGATTCAGCAACTCCGATTCAGAAACTCCTGGTTGCCACGATTCAGAAACTCCAGCATGTCCCGATTCAGAAACTCCGGGTCGACCCGATTCAGACACTCCACTCTGTCCCGATTCAGAAACTCCTGGCCGACCCGATTCAGAAACTCCACTGTGTCCCGATTCAGAAACTCCAGTGTGTCCCGATTAAGAAATTCCACTCTGTCCCGATTCAGAAACTCCTGGTTGACAAGATTCAGAAACTCCAGGTTGCCCCGATTCAGAAACTCCAGTGTCATTTTAAACTTCCCCCACCAAAGCACTACATGCAATAGCAGTCCTCAATGCACATCCTTCCCTTTCATAGAGTTCTTGTCACGATTGCAAATCATTTTCTAAACTTCCCCCCCAAAGCCCTACATGCAATCGTATTCCTCCATTGGCAGCCTCCTCTTTCATAGAGTTCTTGTCACGATTGCAAGTCATTTTCTAAACTTCCCCCCCTTAAAGCCCCACATGCAATGGTATTCCTCAATTCGCAGCCTTCTCTTCATAGAGTTCTTGTCACGATTGCAAATCATTTTCTAAAACTCCCCCCCCAAAGCCCCACATGCAATAGCAGTCCTCAATGCACATCCTTCCCTTTCATAGAGTTCTTGTCACGGTTGCAAGTCATTTTCTAGACTTCCCCCCGCCAAGCCCTACATGCAATGGTATTCCTCAATTCGCAGCCTCCTCTTTCATAGAGTTCTTGTCACGATTGCAAGTCATTTTCTAAACTTCCCCCCCCAAAGCACTACATGCAATAGTAGTCCTCAATGCAAATCTTTCCCTTTCATAGAGTTCTTGTCACGATTGCAAGTCATTTTCGAAACTTCCCCCCCCCAAAGCCCTACATGCAATGGCATTCCTCCACTGGCAGCCTCCTCTTTCATAGAGTTCTTGTCACGATTGCAAGTCATTTTCTAAACTTTCCCACATGCAATAGCAGTCCTCAATGCAGATCCTTCCCTTTCATAGAGTTCTTGTCACGGTTGCAAATCATTCTCTAAAACGTCCCCCCCCCCACAGCCCTACATGCAATAGCAGTCCTCAATGCACATCCTTCCCTTTCCTAGAGTTCTTGTCACGATTGCAAGTCATTTTCTAAACTTCCCCCCGCCAAGCCCTACATGCAATGGTATTCCTCAATTCGCAGCCTCCTCCTTCATAGAGTTCTTGTCACGATTGCAAATCATTTTCTAAACTTCCCCCCAAAGCCCTACATGAAATAGCAGTCCTCAATGCATATCCTTCCCTTTCATAGAGTTCTTGTCACGATTGCAAGTCATGTTCTAAATTCCCCCCTACCCAAAGCCCTACATGCAATAGTAGCCATCAATGCAAATCCTTCCCTTTCATCAAGTTCGTGTCACGATTACAACTCATTTGCTAAACTTCCCCCCCAAGCCCTACATGCAATGGTATTCCTCAATTCGCAGCCTCCTCTTTCATAGAGTTCCTGTCACGATTGCAAATCATTCTCTAAAACGTCCCCCCCCCCACAGCCCTACATGCAATAGCAGTCCTCAATGCACATCCTTCCCTTTCATAGAGTTCTTGTCACGATTGCAAGTCATTTTCTAAACTCCCCCCCCCAAAGCCCTACATGCAATGATATTCCTCAATGGTATAAAATCATATAAAATCGTGCTGCTGTGGTATGTATAAGGGCCCCTCAAGTTTGACCACAAGCGGCACTTGCATGTAATTGAATTCCCAATGATGGGAATCACCGGTATATATTAGATTATATTAGTATATATTGGCTTCTTGGATGATCAACCGTTCGGATGGCATCAATACGTATACATAGAAGATCAGTCCGGAGGACTACATCCGGAGTGATTCTGTTTATCCACAATGCAGTTAACAAATTTGTTTGTTTTTGGAATCAAGGGACTGGGATTTTCCAAATCAAAGCTCGGCCAAGTTTCCGAATCCGACGTTGAAGTTTCCAAATCCGGGGGGTGGCAAGTTTCCGAATCCGAGGGCTTGGAAGTTTCCGAATTCGACGTTGAAGTTTCCGAATCAAGGGGGCGGCGAGTTTCCAAATCCGCGGGCTTCGAAGTTTCCGAATCCGGGGAGCAGCAAGTTTCCGAATCCGAGGGCCTGGAGGTTTCCGAATCCGACGTTGAAGTTTCCGAATCCGGGGGGCGGCGAGTTTCCGAATCCGAGGGCCTGAGAGTTTCCGAATCCGACGTTGAAGTTTCCGAATCCGACGTTGGCCAGGGGAGAGGAGAGGAGAGGAGAGGAGAGGAGAGGAGAGGAGTAGATGAGTAGATGAGTAGATGAGTAGATGAGTAGGTGAGTAGATCAGTAGATCAGTAGATCAGTAGATCAGTAGATGAGTAGGTGAGTCGATGAGTCGATGAGTCGATGAGTCGATGAGTCGATGAGTCGATGAGTCGATGAGTCGATGAGTCAATGAGTCGATGAGTGGATGAGTAGATGAGTAGAGTGCCTGTAGGTCTCGTTTTGTCTCCCGGAGGTCTCGTTTTAGGTTTCGTTTTTTCCCCCCACATCTTGACACAACCACAAGCCACATTTGACCAATTTGAGCGGTATACCCTACAATAATATTTGAGGCTTCCATTTCCTGCAGATTTAGCTTGCACGCTTAGTATGTTTCAGTCAGAACTTACAGTGCACTGTAATATAAGGTCGCTAGGCTAGTGTGTGCAACCCATTCTGCATAAGCACAGAAAGCTGGCCCAAGAACTTCAAAGGATTTTGCAGATTTGATTGTCTAACCTGTTGTGCCACTGGCCGGTTGATCAGTAAATGCTGATTTTTGAGAAAGTATATTTGAATATGTGTGACATATTGCAATTCGCGCGACGAGATTCTAGACCGATATCACAAAATTTGATTAAACTTTTGTGCATGTTGTGCCATGGTGATTTGCCGATGGTGGGATGACTTCTGGATGTCGTGTGGTGACTTTATTTTTCGCGCTGTGCCTTGCAGCGGGGTGACTTCATGTCAAAAGAGATGCGAAAGGTCCAGCATTCGTACCATGGTCTGCCGCTGGTACTGTCTAACGTTGCTTTCTGAAGTCTCAAGAAACAAGCTCCACATGCAGCGGCCAAGTTTCCAAAAGTGAGACCTTGCGGGAGCCAAACAAACACCAAGGCCCCTGGTGTTTGCTTTTCCTCTGATGCGCCCCGTGCTGATGGCTGGGGTTTGATAGGGGTATTTTCGCGAAAGTTCTGCGAAAAAGTGGGCGAAAGTCAAAGTGCATTCTGAAGGGAATGGCCGAGTAAGCCTTGCAAAAAATTGCCTAATCAGCAACAACCTGCCCTGAGAAGCGGATTCCGTGATGCTAGCCAGCTGCATGTTTTTACAAGGCTATGAAGAAGGTATCCGTGATAATTTTGCGTGATTTGGCAGGTGGTGAATGAATTTTCATAAGAGGAGCTGTTGCTCAACATGGGCTCCGCGGGAGATAAACATGGGGTTCGCGCAAGATTCGCGAAAGAATATGTTTTATTCGCGAAGAATGGCCATTCCCGGATAAAGGAATTTTGATCAACCATCATATAGCGGATATACATCAGACGTACATCAGATATACATTAGCGTAATACTGTATACAGTATGCAATAATTATGCATGCCTAATACTGTAAGATGCTGTCGCAGGTTCCGTATTGCGCTGCCGCCGCGCCAGGAGTTAGGAAGAGCAGGCTACGAAGGCAGCCGTTGTGTTCGGACTTGGAAGCAATGCAAACTCATTATATATAAATTCAACACTTCAAAACATGACATGTTTGTCATGATGTTTAACGCTTATATCATTGTATATTTTCATGTTAGTGCGTTGCCTTTGTCATGTCAAAAAATCCAAACAACCTGACTTGTAGGGATGAACCAATGCCTATACAGATCTATACAGACTGAGATTGGATTTTGCAATTACTGGTTTGTTTTTTCTTCTGGCGTTGACAAGAAAGCGATCCGAGCAAGGAATGGAGTGTGAAAGTCATTGGGACAAGTCCTTTCACAGTTTTTTTTTGTGGAGGACAGAGGCCGCGTGCCGATCTGGAGCTTCAGGTGCAAGTCAAAGATGTATGAGCGCACGAAACGCTATGTTTGGATAGTTTCCATTTGTCTCTACACTGTCCTTTTTGCAGAAACGATGTTTCATCCTTTTTCACATGCCACATTTGAAATCGGTTTTGCAGAAAAATAGAATGGACACTGGCACTAGTTGCTGGAAAGTTTGCCGGTAGGTTCGCATGGTGAGAGTATGTTTTTTGATTGAAGAGTACACAGCATGAAAAACCCTTTGCGCAGTCCCTCAGGAGCTTGTCCGCCCTGAGAGCTGCCTGTACATATGGACAAGATTGGGGTGATGAAAGTGGCAAGTCTCGACTGCAATTCAGTTGTGATTTGCCGGCAACCTCGGCAAATGAGAAGATTGAAAATGGTTCGGATTCTGGATTTCGAACCTTGGAAAGGCAAGCTACAGCCAAGACCATGCAACAAGCAAAGTAGAACAGAACGGGCAAAGGGTTGTTTCCAACCAGAAGCAGGTAAGTAGCAACGCTGTTTCTGAGACCGGTCTTTGCAGCATCCAGTCAAGTGGCAGCTTGGGCAATGTATTTCCTCTTTATGCCACAAGGCTCAAAGGGTGCCGTATCCTTGCTGAGTCAAGTGGAGTTAGTAACAAGTGTGAGATTCCACCCCATGACTTTTCCTCAGGTAGTGAGTACAATGCATAGCTGACTCGCTCCGCGCAAGTGTTGGGTTTCAAAATGTGTCAAACATGTTTTTTGAATGTGAAAGTAAAGCTGAGTATCATGGCGCCAGCTATCGAGCTCGGTCTTAATCACTTCCGGCCTCCACCAAAGCCTGGCTGCGCACCTCCTCTGAAGATGTGGCTGTGTTGGCCAGAGGTGGAGAGTGCGGAATTTCATCATGTTTCATGTATTTTCATATGAGCTCACATGTCATTTGGCTCTTCTTGTTCTTGGCTTTGGATTGCGCTAGCCATACACCAGCGCTTGGAGGCTAATTGACACTCGCTAGAGTAAAAAAACAATTTCATCATTTCTGCTGTTGCTTGAAGAGGGACAACAACATGGTCAGTATCAAGAGCAATCGCAGTGGCAGAAAAGTACACAGAAAAGTACACGCTACTACTCGGCACTATCTGATGATTCGAAACGATTCGAATACATTCCAAGAATGAATAAGATGAATAAGACGAATACATCATTTTTCTGGGCAGAAAGCTCAGGGAAAGCTCAGGTCGGATGGGGAAAGGAAGAGGTCGCTCAAGATGAGCGCCAAACTTCGATGCTGGACCGGTGCCAAATCGTGAACAGCTTGTTGTGAAAGAAGCACTGTCATTGCAGCCCGGCGCTTTTTTCGCGATCACACATGCAGAGTTCGGTGTGTGAGTAGGGCTCGCAACGGAGGGATGTAGATGCGAGGTGATTCACACAGAAAGGCTGAGGGGTAAGATAAGCCGGATAGGATGGAGGACTCAGGTTTCGGAGGTTGAACTCTGGAGACATTTGGCATGCACGCGAAGTCGTCCCTATGTTTTTGTGTGTGCGTGTGTGTTTATATGTCCGTACTAATAGTTTCTTCAATACTGTCACTTCTGACTTTCATTGGCAGATCCCTGCCTGCTACAATTTGATCAATCAGCTTCCGTTCAGTTCTCACCATTTGTGGCTCTGCGGGATTCACGTCCCAGCTGAAACAGACAGATTTCTCTTGGATTTACTCTTGGCTTCCCATGTTTGCTTCACTTGGCTGTGAAGCAGCAAAAGATGAACCTATTTGCGGGTCTGGATTAGAAAGGTTGTTTGTATTCTGGAAGACATCTCTTTGCGCAGGACCTACCGTCACCAAAGCAGCGCCGTGAACGCGAGCCGGACGGAGTTTGCACAATGAGTGATAAGATTGCCAGCAAAACTTGGTAGCAAAGTTCCAGGCAAGTTGTCGGTTGAGACCGCTACTGCAACTGCGACAGATCATCAAAGATCTATATGTGCAGGATCAGTTTGCTGTCACCAGGTGTACATCATGCCCAAGAGGTCAAACCTCACAGCAGTAGATGTTTGCTCCTATGAAGCACACTTTCTTTGAAATATCGTGAAGCTATTTCAGCGCATTTCAGCCAAGTACTAATGCGGAAGTTTGGGAACTTGTTAGGCACTGCTGACGAATGTTATTTCGAAGGAGCCTGATTTGGGCCCACTACACAATGCGGAGCATTTGCAGGAAGCAGAGAAGGCCAGTAAGGACAGTACTTTCCATGTTTTGCTGTTTGCCGCGTTTCGGGATCTCTATGTATTAATTTGGTTGTTTGTTGCGGTAGGAGATTTTTCCAGGCCTTTCTACTCAGAGTCGTGTCGTTTGATGGTGTTCAAACTGTTCATGAAACGCAACTGTGATTTATCATTGCAGAGCCACTTGCTATGAATTTCTTGAAAAGAGGACCCGGTTTTTTGCAACGCTTCAGATCTCACCTCTTTGAGTCCTGTGTTCTACTGTCCGGTCTTCTGTAGGCGAATCTTGACGCGCTGAAGGCGCGCGATCCTGCCTTGAAGGAGCTTCTGGAGCTCCTCGGAACCGGTAGAGGGTCGGGAGGGAAAGGTAGAAGGGCAGGGTTTGCTTGGCACACAGGCGCATAGCGAGCAGCTGAAAACACGCGGCGAACCTTTTTCACGATATCTTGTCGCACTCCGGAACTAGTGACAATGCTACAACAATTTGGAGCTGAGGTTGATGTAATGACTACGGACATGAGCCAAAAAAGAAACATGAATCAAGGCAGACACCTGCTTTCTTCTCCCTTTCAGGCAGTGAAGTCTGCCCATGCAGGATGCAGCCGATTTTTTTGAAGACAAAAAGAATAGGGATTGCGATTGTGGTATCTTGTGGTCTCTCAATGTCTTGACTCACTTGTCAACTGCAAGAAAACCATGGACAATCCCTGAAAAGTATCTCACGAAGACTATTCAACCCTGCACAGGAAGAATGCAAAGTCTCTTGGCATCCAAGGGAAGATGCTGATGCATTGGAAAGTCCGGAGGTCAAGTCTGCCTTTGAGCTTTACAGGCTGAAGTCTTGGCTTTCATGTTTGATCCATTTTGATCCAGACCTGTAGCACTTTGTAGTCAAGCTTGTGTGCTCTTTGCATATTCTGATCGTTTTTTGTTTAAAACATTCAGCTATATCCACCAGGAGCTCCAGCAATGAAAAGCTTCGTCCAAATTCTTGCGGAACTATTTGAAACTGCTTGCTCGTCCAGAGGATTGTCTCAGATCTTTGCGAATGGTTTGTTCTGAATTTCGATCCGATAGCTTTGATATCATTCCCGACCGAATGAGCAATCCTTGCAAGATGCAGGCTAAGCCTTATAGCTCTGGATGCTGGCGGCGCATTGGCCCGAAAGGCCTTTCGAGCAGTAGTGCAAGATGATGCAGAGGAGACTGTGCAGATTTGGAAAGACCCCCTTGCAGAATCGGCTCAGGGATGCCTGAGGGAAGGGTCTCAAGCGAAAACCCCTCTTTCATTGGCATCTTCAGGGCAGCAAAATGCAATGCACAGGAAGGTGCGCACCAAAGCCGACATAGAATCAACATGAATCAACAACGAACTGCTCCATGCTTCCTAGTGGTCACTGTAAGACGTGCAAGTTTGTGATCAGTAAAGTGGTTGTTCATGGTTGGTTCAATAATTGTTGCATGTCGACTTGGTTCGCTATTGTTAGTGCTGCACCAATTCAATAGCTGTTGTAGCAGGAGCTGCGGCGCCTCTTCGAGACAACAACTCTACGATGGGATGCTGAGAACTCTGGTGGGCAATCCCTGATGGAGGTGGCCTTGGAGCGCCAGAAGCTTGTGCCAAATTGTGCTAATTTGTTGCTACAAGCTTTTGCGCAGTTCACCAAAAGTTTTCGGCAGCAGAACGCATGGGAAATCTGGGTAGTATGCAAACTCTTTGTTTTCTTTCAATCGGTCAAGGAGAGAGCTGTTGGCGTATGTGTTCGTGCTTTGGAAGGTAACTATGGTATGAGACAAAGTGCTGTCGCAATCACGTGGAGTGTACATCCTTGGAAATATCTCTGATAATCGACTGGCTGTGTCGAACAAGGCTTGCGGCCAAAATCTTGAAACAACGCAACGGATATATAGATTTATTTACTTATTTAAGGGGCTGACGCCCAACAGCGGGCCAGCAGGCCAAAAGGTGCAGGGTGGGAGCAGCAGCATCAGCAGCAGCATCAGCATCATCATCATCATCATCATCAGCAGCATCATCATCATCATCATCAGCATCATCATCATCATCATCATCAGCATCAGTCACAACAACAACAACAGCAACAGCAACAGCAACAACAACAACAACAACAACAACGGCAACAAGAAGAAGAAGAAGAAGAACAACAGCAGCAACAACAACAAGAAGAAGAAGAAGCACAACAACAACAACAAGAACAAGAACTAGAAACAAGAACAAGAACAACAACGAGGACGACAAGAACAAGGACAAGAACAAGAACAACAACAAAAAAACAACAACAACAACAACAACCACAACCACAACGACAAGGACCAACTACGACGACGACGACGACACAACAACAACAACAACAACGACAACGACTACGACTACGACTACGACTACGACTACGACTGCTACGACTACGACTACGACTGCGACTACGACTGCGACTACGACTGCGACTACGACTGCGACTACGACTACGACTACTACGACTACGACTACTACGACTACGACTACAACGACTACTACTACTACTACTCCTACTACTACTACTACTACTACTACTACTTCTTCTTCTACTACTACTACTACTTCTCCTGCTACTACTACTACTACTACTCCTACTCCTGCTACTACTACTACTACTACCACGACTACTACTACTACTACTACTACTACTACTACTACCACCTACCACCTACCACCTACCACCTATCACCTACCACCTACCACCTACCACCTACTACCTACTATACTACTACCTACTACCTACTACCTACTACCTTCTACCTACTACCTACTACCTACTACCTACTACCTACTACCTACTACCTACTACCT